TTATCCTTTATAATCGTTTTCTTTATGATAACATTTTTCAATCTGAGATAGTTGAAAACTTCTCTTACCAAAAGTCAAATCTAGACTGAAGCAAATCAAATGACAAAAGTGTCCCATCTGGTGCTATATCTCTAAAAAATGTAATGCTCTTTTCTCTTCAACTTGACAAACTAATATCACCTATGACCAACCCTGAGTTTTTAACAAAAGAGAATTTCGTAATCCCAAAGCTGTAATCTTTAGATTATAAAAAATGGTATAGATATCTCTAATTATCGGGTTTTGAGTAAGAGTAAACTTGCTTTTTCTACCCTTTGGATCTATGTTTGACCAAAGTAGATATAAAGGTTTTAATTTTCCTAAATCTTGTTTTTCAATCTCCAGCCATATCGGTCTGGGGGTTGAAAAGTTATCCCAAGCAATAGCATGTGCTATCATATTATTGTTGTATAAAGAAAATTTGTTGGAAAAGGATAGGCCTCCTTTTTTAGAATCTCTATAGAAGATATTTGTTCAATAATATCTTGGTTTTATTGAAATTTTATTTAAAATTAGAAAAAAGGCAATATTCCTCAATCAATTGAATTACCTTAGGAATAGGAAACTTCGGATTAGCAAGAGTTAAAAGGACGTCATCCGCATATAAGGTAAGTTTGCTTTCCAGTGTTCCAATTTTTATACCCTTAATTTCTTTATCTTGTCTAATCAAGTTTGCCAAAGGTTCCATCGTCATAATGTACAGCAATGGGGCTAAGGACAGCCCTGCCTTGTGCCATTTCTAATTTTGAACCAGTCTAATAAAATCATATATCACGCAATCCTAGCTGTAGGTTTAGTGTACAAAAGCATAATACTCACCCTAAATGTGCCCTCGATACCAAAGGCTCCCAGTACCGCATCTAAAAAACGCCAGTTCACCCGGTCAAAGGCCTTTTCGGCATCGAGGGCCATCATAGCCATCATACTAGAGTTAAATTGTTTTTATGTTCTTAATAATAAAGGTGACAGCAGTTTTTCAAATTTCTGAAAAAAACCTTAAGAGTACCCATCTGGCCAAGGTGACTTATTCGATTTTAATACAACTTTTAATTTCTGATATTGATGTAGATTTATTTAGAAAATAAAAATTTTCGGAAGAAATTTTTGGAAGCTTAAGCTTGTTTAAAAATGTAGAGATTTCCACGGTAGAATGAGTATGATCTTGCAAATTATGTAAGGATCTGTAATAGTCCCCAAATGCTTTGCTAATCTGTTTGGGAGTTAAAAGCTGTTTTCCCTTATCCACTAGTTTAACTATTTCAGCGCTTCTCTTATACTTCAGCTTATTTGTTCAAATTTTGCTGCATCGGTTAGCAGCATAACACCATTTTTGTTTTAGAATTAAGATGGTTGTAACGGATCACCTGGCACCCCGACTGGGTACCTCTGTTGAAGGATGCTCCTAGCGCTTCCGGAGGACTCCAAGCACTGCAGCAGACACCACAACCACCGAACCGGAGACGCATACAAATGCTCTCAAGCATATGAATGCTGTAAGCAGCTGAACAGGAAAAGCATACAATCAGCTTACACTCCTTGCAATCAGCATACAATCCAATTCCCCCAATAACGAGATGACACTTCGTTTTGAGTTCAAGACGAATTGACTGTACTGGCACATACAGCCTCTTTTATTCACAATCCACAAACATAGTACTGCCCACAGGGTTTTGAAATACAGCCAATCAATCTGTACAATACACACAGACACTCCCACACAAAATCCTCCCCTCTGCCTGTGATATGATTACTGAACACAATGGTTAATATAATTATCACAGGCAGAGAAATACAGTATTATAAAACATATCACAGGGAGCCCAAAACATGTAATAACCCCATAAAAAGTATATCCTCTGAACTGGGGGATCTGGGTGAACCACATATCCAAAATTCAGCCAGATCCGTTCAGTAGTTTGGAAGATACAGTTTAATGCAGATTCCGCAGAACATATACAGGCTATATGAAAAATAATCACTGTTAAATGTGTCCCCTGTTGTATAGTTTAAAACTACTGCACAATGTCTTTGTGCACCAAATACTGGCAAGATGGCACCGTGTAGAAAAGTCCAAACAGTGTCTGTGAGTTAAAATGGCCGCCATCCATTTTTCTCACCATGTGCTTCAACCATTGTTCTCACTATGTGCCTCTGATACATGAAATGGTGGCCACCCAGTAACTCCATAGGATGTCCCCAGATGGTTCTTAAAGGGCCAGCAGCAGCACAACACAAATCCCTTATGCCCAAATCATGTCTTTAAAGGGCAATACATCCCAGGGGCCATAGTCACATGGCAGGAGGCTGGCAATCAGTCTTCTCCAATGCCCAGTGCCCAGTGGCGAGGTCGGTTTCGCCACAATGGTTTTATTGATTTTTATAAGTGTCTGCTTCACTATGTCATTCCTCACCTTTTTAATCTCTAACAAGCTGAAGGGATCTAAGGTGACCTTATGGAGTCTTTCTAATTTAGCTAAATTAATGTACAAGTTACTCAACTTTTTTTTTTTTTTTTTTTTGAGCTCCTATATTTATCAGTATACCTCTTACATAACATTTTAAGGTACAACACAAGGTCATGTCAGAAACCTGCTCCTTGAATGTGGAATGAGAGAGAGATGAGATATTTTCACTCTTACATAGCAAACTTTCATTAAATCTCCAATTATTCCTAACTTTGTATTTAAAATTGTTCTTTAGAGAGACAAAAATGGGTGCATGGTCAGACCACGTTATTGAACCTATTTTAGTATTTGTCACTAAATCCAATGTATTAGATTTTAACAAAATATAATCAATGCGAGAATATGTTTGATGTACTTGGGAGAAATAAGTGTAATCTCGATTTACTGGATTATTCACTCTCCAACAACCATATAGTTGGTTTCTATGCAAAAAAAATTGCATTGCATTAGATGTATTTAAAGTCTGAAAATCCGCCCTGTCTTTGACATTATTCCTTTCATATTTATAATCCATTATACAATTAAAGTATCCCCCTATTATTAATCTGCCTACTGCCAGTTCATCTATTCGGTTCATAAGTTTATTTAAAATTTTATAGGGAATTGATTTGGAGCATTCAAATTGACAAATATAAAGAGAGAATTTTTGCTATTAAAATTAAAATGTCCATTCTCATCTTTTTCTACAAATATTTGCTCAAATTTAATTCTCTCTGAAAGAATAATGGCCACCCCTCTCTTTTTTTTTTTTTTGAGTTTACATATTTGCAGCAAGTATTACAGGGTATTTAGAAAACCTCCACAGTTTAGAGGAAGTCTCTTGCCAGTGCGTTTCTTGAATTAAGGCTATAATCAATATTATTTTCTTCCAATAACCTATATAAATATCTGCATTTCTGAGGTGAGTTCAGACCCCTAACATTCATAGAGACTAAGTTAATAGACATAAAGTACAATAAAAATTACTCGCTTGGATAGCTTCTCTCCCATCCATCTCCTACCACAAGACCTCCTTCAGACATACAAATTTCCATACACTCAACATGACCTTCCACTGACAAATCCCTGTGGGATCACCAGTAGAAGTCTACACCTTTCTACCAAAGCACAATGACTCTACTTCACGTGAGTCTGTGCGTAGACCTGCGGCCTCCGTAGGACAAAGATAAGCCCAGCAAGAAGGGGCACTGCACAACCCCAATTATACAATTTTATAGTTTATCTCCCTAAATATTCAAAAATAAAGAAACTTGATAATGCAGTCATAGCACAATTAAGACATCAGTGGAGGGAGAGTAAAGGAGAAGGAAGGAACAAGGATCCTCCCGATTCCCGATCTCTTATTCTTTTCTCCCTCCTTCCTCCTCTTTCCTTTCCCTACCCTAACTTTTACCCTTCTCTTTTGTGCTTTTATGAGTCGAGTGCTAATCTATTTAATGTTTAAGATAGTCAGTACTGCTTGGTGAACTTGACTTAATAAATATATCTCCTCCATCACTTTATCCCTTATTTATTGTCTAATAATAGTTATCATTTTATGCCTTTATCACCTATATAGGCACTACCTCCCTATTCATAATGTGTCTATTACATGCTACAGCCTTGTGTTAAAATATAAAACTATATCAGAAGAAAAAAAAAGAGAAAACAGAAACATAGAAACATAGAATGGGACGGCAGATAAGAACCATTCGGCCCATCTAGTCTGCCCAATTTTCTAAATACTTTCATTAGTCCCTAGCCTTATCTTATAGTTAGGATAGCCTTATGCCCATCCCACCAGTGGCGTCTCTAGGATTCATTTTTCGGGGGGACACATTTAACCCCGCCCTCGCCGCAGTTTGACCCCACCCCTGTTGCATGTTAAGCCACGCCCCCGACACATTGTGTTTTGTTTTTTTAATAATACCTGGTGGAGGATTCATTATTTTCCACCAGGGATTATTAAAAAAACAAACACATTATCCTTGATACAGTGCCATAGTTGCCAACATTTGAAAAAAAAATTCCAAGGACATTTTGCAGCACAGCTATCAATTACTGTCTGGGTATAATATCCCTGGACAGTCAGTGCTCTCTGTATAATACAGGGTTGTGTGTATAATAAATTGGGACACTCAGTGATCCCTGTATAGTGCTGCTCTCTGTATAATACAGGTCTGTTTGTGTATAATATCCCAAGACAGAGAGCAGCACTATACAGGAAGCACTGACTATCCCGGGATATTTTATACACACAGATCTGTATTATACAGATAGCTGAGCATATACCCCAATCTCTAGACTACTAGTACCTGTCAACAGCAGCTCCCAGGCGCGTGTAACAGGGCTAAAGTGTGCGGCAGCTCACACAGATTATTCAGCGGTAAAGTGCACTCGCTGGCAGAGCCAAACTGGGAATCCCTGGGAATCCAAAGCAGCCCTGGAAAAAAAACGTATGCCATTCCTACAAGTCAAATAAATATATATATATATATATATATATATAGTACAGTAAGCACACAAGCTCACTGACATGCGCAAATAGGCTTACTGACAGACAAAACTCTCTGACTCACACACAAGCTTACTACAGACACTCACTTGTATAAACAGAAGGCTCACTACAAAGAAGTTCAGAGACACACACACAAGCTCACTAAAGACAAGCTCACTGACACACACATGCTCACTAAATAGAAGCTCACTGACACACACAAGCAGTACCATTGGCCATATCTCCAGAAGGATATTGATACTTTAGAGAGAGTTCAGAGAAGGGCTACTAAACTGGTTCATGGATTGCAGGATAAAACTTACAAGGAAAGGTTAAAGGATCTTAACATGCATAACTTGGAGGCAGTGGCGTAAACACAATCCATGGGGTCCCAATGCGAAACTGATACGTGGGTCCGTTTTCCCCCCCTACCCTAATCCGTGCCCCCCCCCCACACATACATACAGACAAAGACATACATACAGACACACACATATACAGACAGATACATACAGACAGACACACACACACACACACACACTGTGTGTATGTCTGTCAGGGGTGTGTGTGTGTATGTGTGGCTGTCTGTCTGTATGTGTGTCTGTGTGTGTTATGCTACTTGGGTTATTTGGATTGGAACTCAACTGCAGCTTGCAGAACTCCTTAATTACAATAGTAAAGAAACAAAGAATCTTTAAAGTATCAATACTGTAGCTTTAAGAAAAGAGAGGATTGCTGGCAATTTGAGAATCAAACAAAGTTTTAATTATTGATAAACTTAAATGAATTGCATATAGACAATATTACAATAAGAAGAGGTGCAGGTTATCAAACAATACAAAGTTCATTAATAAGTATTTCTTCAGAGAAGTTTTTAATAAGATTCTTTATGTTGCTGGGAATAATCTTCAATAGAAACATTAAGCAGGTAGCAGAGAGTATTTGCAAAGCAAGAAACAGTTCATAGTAAATAAGCATGATGGGAGTTGTCCTCCATATAATTAGTAACTTGAAGCAGAGAAGATTTAAGCAAGCAGGAATTGGTTCCAAGAAACAGTTCATAGTAAATAAGCATGATGGGAGTTGTCCTCCATATAATTAGTAACTTGAAGTAGAGAAGATTTAAGCAAGCAGGAATTGGTTCCAAGAAACAGTTCATAGTAAATAAGCATGATGGGAGTTGTCCTCCATATAATTAGTAACTTGAAGCAGAGAAGATTTAAGCAAGCAGGAATTGGTTCCAAGAAACAGTTCATAGTAAATAAGCATGATGGGAGTTGTCCTCCATATAATTAGTAACTTGAAGTAGAGAAGATTTGAGCAAGCAGGAATTGGTTCATTAATAAATGATATTGCAGCAAATAGTTGAAAGATATACTTAAGGTTAAGGTGAGTTGTCCTCCAAGAGTTCAGAGTTATAGTCCACTTGTAAATTAGCAAAGTATCCGTTCTCCAGTAATCCTCTATGGCTTGCAGCAATCCTTGCATTGGCTCAAAGGGTGGGACGGCTTGCCAGAGCTTGTGGAGCTGGCGTGTATACCCGGAAGTAGGTCCCACAATCACCAAGCGCCTTCTCCCTGGCGCGGTCTCCCTAAGTACTGTCAGAGCCGCGTCAGAGGGGGCGGGGCCGGCTCCGCAATGCGGAAGTGCCGAACTCGGAAGAGATACCGCATGACAGTGTGTATGTATGTGTGCAGACACACACCCAACATACACACACACAGACACATACATACAGACACATACAGAAACACATACAAACAGACACACACACACATATGGACACATACATACACACCCCAACAGACATTCACACAGACACATGCATACACACACACACACAGAGACACATACACACACACACAGTGACACATACATACAGAGACACACACACATACAGACATACATACACACAGACACATACATACAGAGACACATACACACACACATAAAATGTTTCCTGTTTCCTACCTTTTGCAGGAGGGTGACTTTCCCTGGGGCTCAGCCTGATGGGAGTCAGAATTCCCACTCTGACTACCTCCTTCCTCCTGCGCGGCTCTCTGATAGTTGTGACGGGCCCGGTTGCTCTGTTAAAGCACCCAGTGCTGACCGGATCCCCTGGAAATCCATCTCCATCGGGTGGCCCTAACAGCATGGGCCAACCTATGCACCCCTTGAACGGCGGCCCAGACGGTTTGCCGCTTGGGCAGGGCCGTAAAACATGGCAGCTCGTACCTGGTTGCGTCCGCAGTATGTACGCCATTGCTTGGAGGAAAAACGAGATAGGGGGATATGATAGAAACATTTAAATACATAAAGGGAACCAACACAGTAAAGGAGGAGAAAATATTTAAAAGAAGAAAAACTACCATAACAAGAAGACATCAATTAGAAGGTTTAAAAATAATATCAGGAAGTATTACTTTACTGAGAGGATAGTAGATGCATGGAATGGCCTTCAAGCTGAAGTGGTAGAGGTTAACACAGTGAAGGAGTTTAAGCATGCGTGGGCTATCTTAGCTTAAGATAAGGCCAGAGACTGATGAAAGTATTTAGAAAATTGGGCAGACTAGATGGGCCGAATGGTTCTTATCTGCCATCACATTCTATGTTTCTATATTTCTATGTGAGACTATAGGAACCTCCATAGATCATCTTGTGATGAGTGAGACAGCTGAAGCTCCTCCTTTTGTCAAGTTTTGTCATCTTAAGGATTTATGGTAAAAAAAAGTGCCCCCTATCTTATATTATTATGTTATGTTTGTGAATCAGTGAATTTCCAATGCAATCAGTTTGAGTATAACATAAAGATTCTATATTTATGAAATGCCTATAAATGTGTGTTTTTTTTTTACAGGACCTCTTTAAGGGGTTAATACCCAACATTAATAAAGGAAATTTATTAATCCCTTTGTTTTTTCCTCAATATTCGTGCACATTATATGAGCTATTTTTATTGTTAGCTTGAATAGGTGTTAAGTAAGTACAGTCTAAAATGTAGTTAATCAAGGCTTTGCTGTTTAGAATCTAGCCCTGAGAACTGCTTGTTATTATTGTTTGACTGATTCTTTAGTTTTCACAAAACATATCATTCTAAAACCTTTTACCCCATTCTAAAATTTGTTTTCATTCTTTTTCATCAATACAACATTTGTAAATTCTGAGGATTACAGAGGGCCCTGTTATCCCCCATGTCTCATTAGTCATGCATTATTAGAGTGTTACAAATAAGCTTGCTAATCATTTCCAAACTGAGACTATTGTAAAATATAGAGAGAGTTGCATTTCCTTTATAAAGAAACAATCTCTTATACTTTCCAGCAAATGTAAACGGCTCAATATTGCAGCAAATGTCTGAGTCGTTTGTTTACTAAACAGTGAATTATAGAAAAGTAAAACGGTGGGGGGGAGGGGGCGGCCTGACTGTTGAACGAGCCAGACGCAGGTTGAGCGAGCTCCTCAATCTTGTTAATTTTACCTGCCTCAAATAGTGTGATATTCCTCCTGATCAGAGTCTATATCGGCACTCACTGAACCGAGAAAGCAGGGACCACTCTTGGAGAGAAAACCTGACACTTGTATGCACCATAAAGGCGCTAAAGCTTCCTGTGGCCTATTTCTCGATTTTTGGTGGGAGACGCGGCCGATCTCCTGCTGATCAAGCAGGCTGAAGTGGTTGGGCTCCCACTTTCCCCCTCTCTGGACTAGTGGGGGGTTATCCCGGTCCCTTCTGAGCTATACATCAGGGCCCACTGAGCCACAGACGCCTACCCAAAGGCTCTACAGACAGTGGTGTGCGGCAGCGAACAAAATGGCGGACGCATATAATTCAGAAACGCGAGACGAGGCCCTCCATGGAGCTGGTTCCACAGTAGCGTGGACAAACTGGATGAGATATTTAACCGTTTCTGGGCTGCCTTGGAGGGACGGATGAAGCTGGCGACAGCTAGCCATGTCCCACTGACTAGGGAATGGAAGCTGTGTGGGGAGAGGCCTGCAGAGCACTCCATAGGCGACTCGACATGCACGATAACAGTCAACTCTGTGCTACGCCTACCTGGGCCTAGAGCCACCAGGGGTTCAACCCTAAGGAACCAGCTACCCTGGCGAAAGAGCCTGAAATCTACTCAGCGATTACTGCGCAAAGCTTAAAAGATCTTCTGCATTTTTCCAGATGGGAAGAACTTGGACTCAGGTAGCTACCGAGTTTGAGGCACTGCGGTACTAGCTCTGCAATTGGCCTGGGGCCAAGGAGATTCCTCACAAGGGTCCTCTCACATTACCCACACATGAGCTTATCCTGGACTGCACATACTTGAAAGAGATAAACCCAGCCGGGGTATTGGCTGAATGGCATTCACGCTGATCAGGCTTGTTTAGTATGCTACAGACACAAATCCCCCTAGCACACCCCTCGCTTTCGTAGCGTAGCTCGCGGTGCACTCTGTTCTGTTCAGGATGATATATATGATTCTGCTCCATTTGTTTCACCTACTTGGTTTTCTGTTCCACGCATATTACAGGTTACAACTTGGGCAAGCCAGGAAATCTTGCACTCATGGAGTTATGTTTCTATACCCATACTTACCCGCAATACACCCATTGAGCACTTATTCATGTCTACTGTTGCATGCTGCCCTAGCTAGCTTTTCTGGTACTCTCAGCAGCTATTTATTGTCTAGATATTTAACTTTTTTACAACACTACACTACAAGCCTGATCTATATATGTTTCCCTAGCATGTTTATTAGCCTATCATTCTAACTATAAAAATTGTGCATGTTCTCTCCAACCGCCTTACCACATGTAAGATATGTATTTTGTTGTTCTTGTCATTGGCTGTTGTGGCATGACTAGACTGTTTGTATCCCTCTGCACAACAAGGACCACTCCACACCCCAACAGTACTTCAGCTTACTGGAGTGCTTTATGGGTGAGGAGTACCCTCATTTAACCCCAGATTATAAAAGTGCTGATTTCTTACAGAAATCAGCACTTTTATAAATTAACTTTGGAAGTCCCACTGGCTGCCAATCAAACAGCTAGGGAGTATTCATTCCTACTTCCGTTAGCTACTCTGAGTTTACGGAAGTGGCAGACACGCTCTACTTGAGTGTGCCTGCCTCTCCCTCACAGACCTTTAGACCAGCTCTTCAGACTCAACTGTCCACGCGGCGGCGTGCAGGTGTGCCGTCTTGTGCACATGCATGTAGCGGTGTGTGCATGTGTACAAGTCGGCACACCTACACGCAACTGTGAGAAGCCTCTGATTGGCTATTGTCCTTTTTTTCAGAAAAAAAAATAGTTATTGTCCTTTGTTTCAGGAAAAAAAGGGGAGGGCTTACAAAGGCTGCAATCATAAGAACTTCAGCTTTTATAATCTCTACTTAACGTACCAGAGAATAGTCAAAATACTTGCAGAGGTCAGGGACACAGAATGAGATGCAACGATGAGGAAAGCCAGAAGTCAAGGATACCAGAAATCAGGGAAGTCAAAACAAAGCCAAAGTCAAATACCATAAAAAAACTATCAGGAACACACTCTCGGATAACCAGCTAGTTGAAACCACCACAGGGTACTGGCAAAAAGGTAATTTGGGTTTAAATAACCATCTATAGGCTGTAATTGGCTGTCTCTGACCTCTGACCTCAAAACGTTCGCACGTGTGGTGGCACCATCTTTAATGTAGGCGAAGGTAAGTTTATTATAAAATCCTGATCCGCAGCGGCCAGCATTCCTAAGAACATCGCACCCGCAGGGGACTGGAATGGAGGGAGACTGGGCACCTGCCCGCTGCGACCAAGGTAAGTTTGAAACCTTTCTGTCGGCGTGGCTGCGTAGTTTATGTGCAGTCACGCTGACATAAGAGCTGAGAGCCGTGACATATCCTTAATGAACAATGAAACAAAGATTTATTATAAGATATTGGCTAATAGACTGGCAGAATTAATTCCCTGGTTGTTAGATAATGATCAAGTGGAATAGAAACAGGCTACTGACAGTACAAGAAGATTTATAAACATAATCTATCATATCTGTTCTACTCGGATGCCTTCTCTGCTTCTCTCGTTGGATGCGGAGAAGACTTCCCACAGGAAACATTGGGGAGATTTGCGTCAAGTAGTGATATATATGGACTTTTCCCCCCTCATTCATAAAATCAGTATTTGCTTTACATAGCTTGAAAACTACTAGGGTTTCTGCTCCAGGTTATGTATCGGAAAGTTTTGTATTGACCAACGGTACCAGACAAGGGTGTCCATTATCATAGAAACATAGAGCGTGACGGCAGAAAAGAACCATTCAGCCCATCTAGTCTGCCCAATTTTCTAAATACTTTCATTAGTCCCTAGCCTTATCTTATAGTTAGGATAGCCTTATGCCTATCCCACGCATGCTTAAACTCCTTTACTGTGTTAACCTCTACCACTTCAGCTGGAAGGCTATTCCATGCATCCACTACCCTCTCAGTAAAGTAATACTTCCTGATATTATTTTTAAACCTTTGTCCCTCTAATTTAAGACTATGTCCTCTTGTTGTGGTAGTTTTTCTTCTTTTAAATATAGTCTCCTCCTTTACTGTGTTGATTCCCTTTATATATTTAAATGTTTCTATCATATCCCCCTGTCTCGTCTTTCCTCCAAGCTATACATGTTAAGATCCTTTAACCTTTCCTGGTAGGTTTTATCCCACAATCCATGAACCAGTTTAGTAGCCCTTCTCTGAACCCTCTCTAAGGTATCAATATCCCTCTGAAGATACGGTCTCCAGTTGTCAGGGTGGTGGTCCGATGCCCGGGACCCAGACACTGTCCGGGCGGCGGTGCGTGGACCGGGACCCATGTATGCCTGATTTTCAGAGTAGGAGTCACAGTGTGGAGGTGGATTAGCAGGGTCTGGTGCAGGGTAACCGCACGCCCCCTGGTGTTGAGCACCAGCGTTTGTGCAGCCACAACCAGAACCCTGAATCAGCTTACGCGGATCCCAGGAACCAGGAGCAGGTATTTAAGCAGACCTCCCAGGAGCTGAATAAGGAGGCTCTGCAACAGGTATGGATCCAGTACAGAATCAAGAAAAGACTAGAAAAGGCACCAAACATAAAACCAAGACAGAACTAGTAGAACCCAGAACCGGAGAAGGATAGGACGCTAAACCCAGAACATGTACACAATACATAAGGGAACATTTACTAAACAGGGGCAGGACAGGACAGGACTGTACATGGACCAGGTATACAAACTAAAACAAGACAAGATATAATAGGCAAAACAAGAGGAGACATTACCAAGTACCTAATTTGAAAAGCATGGGGATTTAGTTACATTATATGATCATACATTGCATAAGCCTGCCAACAACGCCAATGTACCCCATATCTGGCAGGTCCTACACTGCCTAATGTATACTAAAAGAACCATACTAGACCACAATAGCACTTACCTGCAAGAAAGGGCAGAAGCTTTGTGCAGCTGCCTGCAGGACACTGAAACAAAAAGGAATGATGGAAAACAAACAGGTGTGGCAACAAAAAACAAACATTTAAATGAATCCAAGAGACTGGGAAATCTAGGGACGGAATATAAGAATGAACCCAGAAACCCAGCAATAAAGAAAACCGGACATAGACCAGAAAACCAGAAAAACCAAGCAAGGACAGCAAAAAGAGTACTGGATACCAGAAGCCATTGCCAGAATGATCCACAGCGAGGAACAGGACGTGACACCAGTACTGTGTACAATACTCCAAGTCTCACCAGTGTTCTGTACAATGGCATGAGCACTTCCCTCTTTCTACTGCTAATACCTCTCCCTATACAACCAAGCATTCTGCTAGCATTTCCCGCTGCTCTATTACATTGTCTGCCTACCTTTAAGTCATCAGAAATAATCACCCCTAAATCCCTATCCTCATCCCTTATCGCCACTTCTTTTCATCTTGGCTATAGAACCATTGGAAACAGCTTTTAGGGTTAATAAGGAAATTAAATGCATAACTATAGGGAAACATATCTACAAAATAGGTTAATCAGCTCTCTATATCAGTGTTCCCCAACCCAGTCCTCGTGGACCACCAACAGTCCAGGATTTATGTATTTCCCTGTTTTATTCCAGTTGAGATACTGACAAAACCTGGACTATTGGTGGCCCATGAGGACTGGGTTGAGGAATACTGATCTATATCAATGAAATAACATTTGGAAGAGTTTCGGGAACTATCTCGTCACAAGCCGAATTTGCAGCTTTTAATATAATGCTTATGGAGTTGGCTACAAAAAAAGGGGGAAAGAAAGAGATCTGTCCCTATAATACCAATTTAATAAAAATCACGAAGATACTTTATTTATTTCAAAAAGAAAAAACAATGAATAGATTATGTATAACTGTCTAACTCAGACAAAAATATATGCAAGAGCATATGGACACTGGGTAGGGGGAGTGGAAAGACGACACAAGGAAATATATATATGCAGTCCTCAATATATTTCACAGAAATCTAGAAGACTGATTTGGAGTGAAGCTCATGTCAGCAGTCTCCGAAATCATGATATAGAAGAACAAAATCACAAGCTAAGCTACTAGAGACTCTAAACTCCAAAAGAAAAAAGGAAAACGAAGAGAAAGAGATTGCTGGCTAAATGTCATCAGCTGTTACATAGGTAGCAGAAGTATATGACTGGGTGAATATAATGTAAAGTGTAAATGTTCGTTAGGGTCAAAACGATCTAAAGTTTAGTCGAGTATAAGCCAAACTGGCTATAATGTACAGAAAGAATAGCTGAGTAAACCTGTTAGATATATTTCACAAGTTTGTCACTGATAGAAACAATGTATACAGTGACAAATGGTAGAACATCATTCCGAATAAAAGTCTTACCCGAAGGCAGTGTGAAATCAGTACACATTAGGAGCAAAGGACCTGGAAACTAGTCCGATGCAGACAGAGTCTGACTAAATCGTACTATTAAAGCAGGAAAACTAAGAGGCTGAGTAAACCTGTTAGATGTATTTCACAAGTTTGTCACTGATAGAAACAATGTATACAGTGACAAATAGTAACACATCATTCCGAACAGACGTCTTACCGGAAGGCAGTGTTAAATCAGTACACACTAAAAGCAGAGGACCTGGAAAATAGTCCGGTGCAGACAGAGTCTAGCTAAATCGTACTACTAAACAGGAAAACTGAGAAATGTATAATGGGAAAGTAGAAAGCAACTAATAGATGCGGATAGAAAAAGAGGAATGGGAATAGTGTCTTCGTGGACACTAGTAACAGTAAAGTTCAAAGGAAATCTACATAAAGAGAGTAGGAGGCTCTAGAATTGCTTCAAGATATAAGGTTTAGTAACCAGTCGCTCAGCTATAAGAATTACCCTGATCGGTATTTTGCTTCTCAGACGCTCAAGATAGGCTCATAATCAGCTAACTCTCAAGGAGTCCCCCAAATGATCACTGGGTTATTGTAAGGTCTATGGTCCAAACTTCAGAGCGAATGCCGTCAAGGGGAAATACTTCCCACAGGGCTTGCGAGGTTATCAGTTAGCGTAGTCTTAGAGGTACCTACAGGGATCGCTCAGTTATCTTAGGCTAAAAGGTTTTAGACCATATCAGACAGAGAAGCGGGGGATGCAAACGTAAGTGTCAGAGAAAAAGGTCAGAACAGTATCACAACCCGACGCTCGTTTCGCCTGGTTTAGAGGCTCGTCAGGGGGAAATGACTCGCCCCAATGGCTCAAATTAAATATACCGCCCTCGGACGTGATTGGTCCGATTTGGAGGACAGTAGGTATGTATATCAGTACGGTGGCTGAGTAGACTCAAAAAAGAGGACAATATGTTGAATTCAAATTGCTTGTGTATTCAGACAATTTCAAACCTAACAAGCATGATAGCTAAGTTTTTCTAGCGAATAATCAGTAGAAAAATTAGAATAAAGATAAAAGAGAAGTTTATAAAGATTTATAGGAAGTAACAACTAATGAAATAAATAAAATAAAATAAGAAATCAGGTAATGGTCATAAAGTTACACCTTAGGAAAACTTATTTGTATAGATACAAATCACCAGTAGCAGTGTCAATATGGATCATGACACTGATAAGTACCTGATAAGTAGTTATGGAGTTGGCTGATTTAAAACTACAATATCAATCAGAGTGGAAAGAATCTTGTCATTTTTTGGTGTCAGTTTAACCCCTTAAGGACAGAGCTTCAAAAGCTTGTCTTTCACTTAATGACAACAGCAGTTTTTTCATTTTTTGCTGTTTGCGTTCAACTGCATTTTGCATTTTACTAATTTATTGCACCGACACATATTATATAACGTTTTTTAAAGGACAGAAAGGGCTTTAATTTGATGTGACATATATATATATATATATATATATATATATATATATATATATATACATATAAATGCTTATTTATTATAAAAAATACAGAAAATGCAAAAAAAAATTAAAAGTTTGTGTTTTTTTTTTACAGTTTTTGCAATAATAATGTGTGCACAATTAGTGCAGGTTAAGGAAAGTAAATCTGCTAAATAGTTTTTAAATGTATTTTTTTACTTTTTTTACTTTTTAAAACAAGTTTTTAAACTTTTGTTTTGCTTATTAATTTTTTTTAACTTTCCTAAACTTTCTTAAAACTTTTTTTCCAGATTTAACATTTTTCTAAGCTTTTTTTTTACCGTTAACCCCTAACTAGCAGTAAGCAGCACTAACAGTAAATGCCCCATTTTCCCATAACTCCCACCCACCCCAGCTAGCAAAATATATAATTATAAAATATTTAAATCAGTTAATTAAATAAATTGAACCCCTGAGGGTTAAAAAATAAATAAAAGTTAATCGTCAGGGGTTAAAAAAAATTAGATCACAGTATAATACTGTGATCTGTATTTTGATCACTGTAGGCAGTCGACTGGCAGGGAAGGGGTTAATTTTTATTTGGACTGGCTAAAGGGGGGTGTTTTTTTATTTTTTACTTAAAACTTTTTTAAACTTAATTTTTAACTTTTTAAAGCTTATTTTAAAACTTTTTTTAAAGTTAACCCCTAGTTAGCCTAACACCAAATCCCCCAATTCCTCACTAACTTCCACCCACCCCAGCTAGCTAAATTTATAATTTTAAAATACTTAAATTAATAAAATAAATTTAGCCCCGGAGGGTTAAAAAAAAAAAAAAAAAGAATTAACCCTCAGGGGTTAAAAAAAATAAAATCAGATCATAGTAAAATGTAATCCCTGCCAATTGATCACTGTATTCAGTGATCAATTGGCAGGGAAGGGGTTAATTTTTTTATTAAAATGGGTAAAGGGGGGTGGGATTTTAAATTAACTTACTTTTTTTTTAGCAGGGGCAGGATCATCACTGATCCGTCTCCCTGCATTTCACACAGAACCAGGAAGTGCAGGGAGGCGGAAGGTAAGTATACTAAGCACATGTGCTCGCTCTGACATGCTGTCAGAGCAAGCACATGTGCTAGGCAGCACTATCGGGTGCTCCCGGTCTGCCTCTAATACAGTGGTATACCAGAGCACCATTAATTTTAACAGGTGACGGACAAGGTCCGTCACTCGTCGTTAAGGGTTTCCCCTGAGTGACGGACCTCGTCCGTCACTCGTCCTGAAGGGGTTAACTAAAAATATGTCCGATATGCATGCCTTAAATTCTGAAAGAAAATGGCCGAAATTGAGAAAGGAACTCAGAGTTATCATGGATAGGCAGAATTGCTTAATTAAAAATGAATATCTTTAAATAGAGCAATTCCCTTACATATCCCCAAATCATTAAAAAAAAAAAAAAATTCTGACACTACAAGATTTCACTGGAAGAGAATAAAATTGGCTACCATACAGAGAAATGGGAAATTTTGTGGTTTATTTGTCTCAGATTTCAAGAAATACTATATAGCCACTAATGCAGCAGCTATCTTTAAAGTTAATTTTGACACAGGTTTGCCTAAATAATTAATAACGGAAGGAGAAGTAATGTCACCAGACTAAATAAAAGAAGTTTTATGGTTACCTACAATTAAAGGATTGGATTTAGTACATTGGTTCCCCATGACCAAATTAACTGTACAATCATGCGTGGACCAAATTGTATGGAACTACTAGTCGGAATAACAAAATGCATTACAACCATACTACTAGCTGTATTTGGATCTCTCAATCCAGATTTAAATATGGATTTTGGAATGTGGTACTCATACTCAATAAAACATTTAAACCATTTTTAAAGTTTAATAATTTGAAAGATGATTATTTGCTTTCACAATACAATTTAATTATAACCAAATTACAGGAAATTTGGACTCACAATCCTGTACTCGATAACAGTTTTGAAGCATTGTCCAGTATTTGTTTTCAACATGATCAAAATCCTATAATGTTTTAACCATTTTCTGTTGATAAACCCATGGAGATAGTAATCATTATGATTACTTTTAGAAGTTATTAACAGCTTCAGGGCCGGTGCAAGGATTTCTGCCATCCTAGGCAAAGATCCATTTTGCCGCCCCCTCATGAAAGCAAATACAATCTCACAGAGGTTTATTCACTAAACTCTGAATTGCAGTGAGTTGAAAACCAAATTGCAAAGTTTAAGCAAAAACAGCTGAACTGTGACTGTAGCCGAATTGGAGAATTCTTCTTGATCAGCTATTTTGCCCTACATTTTGCCATATGGTTTCCAGTTAGGTCTGCCTTATACACACACACATGCTGCTTAACCCCTTAAGGACAAAACCTCTGGAATAAAAGGGAATCATGACATGTCACACATGTCATGTGTCCTTAAGGGGTTAATGTTTACATCCATAAACACACACTGCTTAATACCTACATCCATACACACATACCGCTTAATGCGTACATCCATGCACACATACTGCTTAATGCGTACATCCATACACACACACTGCTTAATGCGTACATACGTACACACATACTGCTTAATGCGTACATCCGTACACACATACTGCTTAATACCTACATCCTTACACACATACTGCCTTATGCATCCATACACACATACTGTCTAATACATGCATCTATACACACATACTGCTTAATGCGTACATCCTTAAACACACACTGCCTAATACATACATCAATACACACAAACTGCATAAGACATGCATCCACGCACACATACTGCCTAATAC